AGTAAGAATCATAACAGTACTGAAGCCATATCTCAAACAAGTCACTGTTCAAAATTCAGTCATTTAAAGTATTTAAGATACATTTAGTGTATGCACACATTGGCCCGTCAGACAAGGAAGCTCAAAATTCATTTTTCTTAAAGCTGGCTGAGGGGGTAAAAACAACCCATGGGAGGCTGGAGCTTGAAAGGAATGACAGCATGATCTTTTTTGTCAATATTTAGGTTGTATAAGAGGTGTTGTGACTATTTTTGCAGATGACATTTGCACTGGAACCTCAAATACCTTCTGTCATCTCTTTTTCAGGCTACTTTTATGTTACCTTTTATTACTCTAGACTTCTGGACATTTGAACTACAAATGTCCTGGTGCTGTCCCTACCTTGTCTGTGTACCTCTTTCCTTCTTTGATTATTTGTTTAATTTACCTAATGTGTTATATCTTTACCTATGGTGAGAGCTTGCTGGTGAACAGTGCCTCACCCGGCACAAAGACCCGACTGGAGGATACTACCACAAAGAAAAGTGTCAAGCAGACCAAAAAAAAAAAGAGTTTAGAGAAAGCATGGCACACCTACAGGGTGTTTTTCTGCACTTAAAACCAAGTTTGGGCTTTTCTTTAATCTTTACGGTAAAAAAAAAAAAACAAACTTGCCAGTGCAGGTAGGCAGCGTGATCGTGTCATGCTCTTTGTCTAAGCTGCCCATGCACCTTTCTACCTCTCTCCCAATATACCTTCCCATTGTGTATGACTTCAAACCTGCCTTGACAGAACTGAAAATTAATGTCGTAGTTTAACCCCACGGGCAGCGAAACACCACACAGCTGTTCGCTCGCTCCCCCCCCAGTGGGATGGGGGAGAGAATCAGGGGGAAAAAAAAAAGTAAGATTTGTGGGTTGAGATAAAGACAGTTTAATAGGACAGAAAAGGAAGGGAAAATAACAACAACAACCACAATAATAATAGAATATACAAAGTAAGTGATGCATAAAGCAATTGCTCACCACCCACCAACCGATGCCCAGCCAGTTCCCGAAGCAGTGGCCACCCGGCGAGCTTTCCCCCAGTTTGTATACTGGGCATGACGCCCTACAGTATGGAACAGGCCTTGGGCCAGTCTGGCTCGGCTGTCCCGGCTGTGCCCCCTCCCACCTCCTTGTGCATCCCCAGCCTGCTCAGTCGGCAGAGCATGAGAAGCTAAAAAGTCCTTGACTTAGCGTAAGCACTACTTAGCAACAACTAAAACATCGGTGTGGTATCAACGTTATTCTCATCCTAAATCCAAACCACAGCACTATACCAGCTACTAGGAAGGAAATGAACTCTATCCCAGCCAAAAACAGGACAATGCAATAACTAAAAGTGCTCTAATATTCTGCTGGATTGAAGGCACCTTGAAGACATTGGATGCAAATTAATCTCATTGCCATCCAGATCCAGTGGATTGGAGAGGAATCCTGATGGTTTCAGTAGCCTTCTCTCAAGCTGTCATTTCCCTCCTGCACCCTTCATCCGCAAGCGGTAGGAGAGGACAGAATACCAATCACCACACTTTATGTCTCCTAACACAGTTATTTCGGATGAGCCCAGGCCGACACACAGCCCAGGCCAGGGGAAGATGAGAGAAAAAACATTCCCAGGTTTTGCAAAACGCTCGTGTTGTCCTGCCTCACGCCTTTTCCCATTTACCCTGAGAACAGATGATTAGCAATATCTTTCTCACTATAATTGCACAACCTATGGCAAATGAGTGCTGGGAAATCAGAGCGTCTGTAAGTCTTAAACCCTACAGCGAAGCGACTGAGACTGGGTCTCAGCTGGGAGCTTTATAGGAAAAAGCACTGAAAACAGACTACGTTACAGCTGTAACTAGGCTGAGGAGTCCTGTAAGACTGTCGAAGCTTTCAAACCGATGACAGAGCAAGTTCAGGCAGTGCCTGTAGTACCGCTTCTCACCAGAAAAGTGGTTGTCTGCTGAGGCCAGGCGGGGACCTGTGTCACACGTGGTCCCCTGGCTTAGGTGCCCCGTGATGTGCACAGGAATTGCTCTGGCAACTCCATCGACCCCTTTCTTTCAGCTGTGCATTTAGTGAGCATTCCACACTGGAATGCAGCAGCACACTCCAGTACGGCTTCTTGCATCATTGGGAGGAACCGGGCTGACAGTGGACAACTCGTTGCATACTGACCGTTACACGCCATGAAAGCATAAATGCAGAGGAGACGGTCAGGAGCATCACTCACAACCTTCACGTATTTTCCTTTTCTGTTGACCTTCTTCCTACCACCCGTGACAGTTCCTATTACTCCAGGCCCTACCACATCCCTTCTGCAAATTGCTAAAGCTGAATAACAAAATCCGCATGCAGTTTTGGCCCTCCTTGTTCATTAGTCCTGCTGTCAACAGCAAAAGCGTGCCTTTTGGAGCCGGTAGCAATCCAGAGTCTCATGGCAGTGCTCCAGGGAACTGGGCTGCTCAGAGGCAGCACCGGGGCTGGTTCCTCGACACTCCTCAGCAAGTTGACTGGGAGCAGCCCAGACGCTGGCTGAGCTCCCACCCAACTCAAGATAGCCTCTTCTAGACCCTGCGTTTCATTTACTTCCTTTCCTACTTTATGAGGATTGCTACGGGCTGGTGGAAAGCCTGGGAACCTACATGTTGGGATTACCGTGCTGCCTCGGGCTGCCTGGGATGCACGTGAACAACGGCTGTGCAGGGGGAGCATGGGCAGGGGCTGAGCCCCTCGGTGGGGACGGGGGCTGGATCCCTCAGGGGGCTGGGTCTGTTGGTGGGACAGGGGCTGGATCCCTCAGTGGGGATGGGGGCTGGATCCCTCGGTGGGACAGGGGCTGGATCCCTCTGTGGGGTTGGGGGCTGGATCGCTCGGTGGGAAGGATTTCCCTGGGGATGGGAGATGGATCCCTCCATGGGGACGGGGGCTGGATCCCTCGGTGGGGATGGGGGCTGGATCCCTCTGTGGGACAGGAGATGGATCCCTCGGTGGGGACAGGGCCTGGATCCCTCGGTGGGACGGGGGCTGGGAGGGATCTCCGTGGGGACAGGAGATGGATCCCTCCGTGGGGACGGGGCCGGATCCCTCGAGGGTGGCACGGGGCCAGGCCGGGACGGGGGGGT